TGCTGTTTTTTTCAGCAGCAGCAGCGGCGGCGGCAGGTGTCTGCGTGGCTTCACCGCCCGGCTGCTGCTCGGGTGTGTCATGAGGCATGTGTTCTAGAGTGGGACCGCGCAATAGCGTTGTGCTGTGCCCCATAGCAAGGCGCAAAGCACACAGGCGAGCCGCGCCCTCGCGCGTGTGCGTCAGAGGGTCTTTTCGGGAGGTTCCGACGGTTCTGTGCAATTTCGTTTGTTGGTCGATTTTCCATCAGCAAGATCCGAGGACGCTTTTTCGAATTTTTTCCTATAGGAAATTTTCCGCTTTGACACCCCCAACTGTAACGGTGTCGTTGGTTACAGAAAGAATCACATACAGCCATGTTACCGGCATGTTGGGGTCTGCAAGAGAATCCACCTACGTATTTGACGGAAACACTGACCGTGCTGCCCCGAAGAAAGATTTTTTTCATCGCAGCGCGGCCTTGTGCCAGCTTAACTGGGTGATAAAACACTGTTGATTCATGCACCGAGAACGCAAACATGCCAACATGCATGGACCGGTTTGCTGAGGGTCACACCGCACCGAACGAATAACATGTCGAGACGGGATAACCCGATCGACAGGCATGAAAAACGCACCCAGTCCACCACTTCATAAAAAAATACAACCGTACTCTGTGCAACCAGCACATTGGGCTATAGTCGAGGCCTCCTCCCAGGCGGCGCCAGCAGCCATTGCATCGCGGGCTTTCGGATGCGCGTCCTCCAATGAGTCCACTAAGTCGTCCCCCGTTGCGTGTTCCGGGTTGCGTGCACGGCGCATGGAGAAGAAAGGTCCGGCGAGTGCTTTTAGTCGTTTATACTCCGCCTTGCACTCGAGGGCTGCTGCCTTGTCCTTCTCGACTTGTTGACGGGCAGCTGCTTCTTCGACGGCGAGCCTTGAAGCCTCGTCCAACGCCGCGGCCGCTGCGTGTGCGGCGAGAACCTCCGGAGGGTCGGCCACGCTGATGTCGCTCGTGGGTGCATCAATCACCGGGGGTGGCTGCTCGTGAGGCTCCAGCAGCGTGACGTGTTGCCCCTTCGTTAGCGTGGAGAACATAGCCACGGCCTGTGCGTCCATTGCAGCAGCCTCCTGGTCGCACTCTGCAACCCGCCGCTCCATGTATCTCCTCCGCTGTTCTGATTTGCGATCGCGCCTGACGTACGCAAACGCCCGGCGCCCGAGTCCGGCGTTACGCAACCTGCTGCAGCGTAGNAAGCCACGGTCTGTGCGTCCATTGCAGCAGCCTCCTGGTCGCACTCTGCAACCCGCCGCTCCATGTATCTCCTCCGCTGTTCTGATTTGCGATCGCGCCTGACGTACGCAAACGCCCGGCGCCCGAGTCCGGCGTTACGCAACCTGGTGCAGCGTAGGCGCATCAGGATTCTGGCCTCCTGCTGCAACCCCCTCAAAGCTCTGGCGCGTTCCGCTTGTTTTTGGATGGCACACTTCTTGGCGACTTCGCAGTTCGGCGTCGTGCCTGAACACCGGTGGGGGGTAATTTTAACGGAGGACAGACCGGAACATACGGCGATAGTATGGCTGTTAATTAACCTGTGCGATAAAGCTTGGATACAAGGACTGTGTTGGTAGAAAAAACAAAGAGCAAAAAAAAAAAGAGCGCCTGCTAGAGGAGAACCGTTACTCAAATTGAAGAATAACCCGTGAATGTCAATCCTTGTACTCTGCAAAACACACAGCCTCCCGTCGTGCAATACGACAGCCCCTCTAAGCCAATGTTGGTGTCTGTGTTTATCTGTGGGTGCGGTATGCCCTTGTGTCGGTTGCTGCTGGACGCGACTTGAAAGAGTTGGTCACCCTGTTCTTGAGACGGGTTGCATGTATACAAGTTCGGGCCTGACTTGTACACAATGTTTTCTTGTACAATTGCGTGCTGCTGCTGTATGCCCTGGTGCGTTCTATAAAATAGAGACAGTTTGTAAACACGAGTTCGGATCTGGTGTGTATAACCACTCTGTGTTTCTTGTATGTACACTTGCGTGCTGCTGAGCACTGTTGTGTTCTATTAGAAGTACAAATTAGAGATGGGTTGTACAATACACTATACTATTTTGTATCAATACAAGTAGTACTGCACTGCTGCATGCTGTACAAC